CGGATGATAATTTAAGGCAGGAATCCATATCTAATTTGATACTAGGTACATCTTGTTTGATAATATTATCCTCAAAAATTTTTAATTCATTTTAGATGTATGATAAAGATAATTGTAAAAGTGTTGCTTGAAATATAACGAAAGCTACTGAGATAATTAATTTGAAATGAGATTTTGATAAAGGATTTCTCAAATACACTTAAAGATTTCTACAAAAGTGATCATCTGATTGCAATCTTTACTATCAAATAATTCGTTTGCTAAGATTGTAATTCAGAAAAAGAGAATAAATGAAGTCCAAGAATTTTGATTATGCTAACAAAATTTCATTGATCTGGTCTGGATGCCAAAGTCTCACACATTATTAAAGTTTTTTTTGAGTTCATCCAAATGTCCTGTTGAAATATTATTTGGAATTTCCATTAAAGAATAGAATTTTAGAAATGAATATTCTTTTAAGTAATCAAATTTGAATTAAGAATCAAAAGATGTAAGGAAGAGAGTGATTAGGATTCTTCAGTCGCCTAAGTTCTTACAAACCTTAATTTATTTATTTTATAGCTTTTATACTTTCAGTTATCAAATACTTTAGAGAACAGTCAAGATAATAAATGATTGGAACTCAGGATTCCAAATGATTTTGGTTAATTATGAGGTGACTTTTGAATATCATTTCGTTAAATTGTAGCATGACTTCAGATTCCATTCTCTTTCGATTAATCAATAATTACTAAAATAGCTTCCTTTTTCGGACACATTTTGAATATTAATTTCCTATCACAATTAATCTCATTTATATAAACAGTTGATTTTATTTGATTAGTTGATTAAATAAACTTCTAATCAATTTAATTTATAAAATAAATGACCTGCTATGATAGTTAAAAAAATGTTAATAATTTAGAAGAAAATATATATATAATTTTCTTAATGCTAAGGCGAAAATTTCCAACTAAATTGTTTTGAACGAGATTACGTAATTGTTAAAACTGCTAAGATTAATAGGTAATGTTTTTAAAATTAATTTAAGGGCTTCATCTATCTTCATAACAGAACTAAGAAATATAAAAGTAAATAGATATCAGAAAAGATTCAAGATAAATTTCAACTAATTTATTCAAAAGATATTCATCATAACTTTGATCTGATTTTTCTTCATGTATTTGAGGCATTCGACGCAT